CCAACGTTTCATTGGCTACTTTCAAAGACACACTGCTTGTAAAACTCTCTGGATTATTTACAGCTGCCGGTGTGTCATAGGTCAGATTCTGTAGTGAATTAAAAAAACATTTAAAATTTACTGCATGACGATGACGCATGTGTATAGACACAAGAAACGATAATGCAATATAACGTATTAAAAAGTGAATATGTTACATGACATAATCCTAGAAGATTACATTGGATGATNNTGACCACCTGGACACCCAGGTGGTCATAATTCACTTCACCTGCTCATAATGTTATGGCTGATCCGTGTAATGTGTCAGCATGATATGATATGATGTGACATAATTAATGTAAGATAACAATACAATGGGACATTGTGCATGTCTACAGACCCACCTGAGAGGTGTTGTTTCTGGGAAGTCTGACCTCATGCAGGGCGTGGCTGTGTAAGACCCCTTCCACAAACTCCAGGTGGGAACCACTGAGTGTGATCTTCCTGTTCCCACTACAGGACACAGAGCAGCAGCCAATCAGAGAAGTGGAAATATAATACAAATTTGATACCAGAGAAAGCATTTTCTTAAACATGACACATCTAGGGTCCATATGAAAATATAGGTCTAAAGCTCTCGTGACCCCTCATAAAACATTAAAAGACAACATATACCCTTTGTGGACCACTATGAGCACGTATACGCAGGGTTTTTAAACATGGGTAAAACCGCCAAAATGTTTTTCTCTTTTGCCAGTAGGCGAATTTGCTTCTCTCTCGGGTGGCACATTCAAAATCATAAACATGCTGCAAAACACTGTTACATGTACATGTAAACAGTAGCAGCATAAAGTGTTATGGTGGCATCTTTTACTTCAGTCTCTCTTCGAAACTCATCAACGAGAAGTCAGGAGAAGCTCTCTCACCTTACTGTCTTGCCAGCGTTGCATCTTGCACAATAACAAAAAACAAAATTGCCAGTGCATGTTTTTCCCACAGAAAGACTGTAAAAAACAATAATGTTCCTGGCTATTTATGCGGCAACATCCAGAACTTCAATATGCTTTATAGCTGTAAAGCACAGGACTTCCGCATGACACTGCCCTAAAGACTTTGGTGTTCACCCGGTTTTATCAACAAAAGCTGGAAGAAAGTCCTCAGTCTCTATTCCATTAAGAGACTGGCTATTGAGTCTAGGATGTCCAACATTAGGGTTCACCCAAAAGGGATCCTAGCAGTAACAGCTCATAATTGTAAAGGCGTCATTAAAATCTTTAGGAATCATCCTGAATATTGTGAATATCCATAAATGTCATGACAAATCAGTAGTTGACATATTCTGCTCTGAAAGTGTTCAACGGACTGAAAGATTCAATATTGCTGTTCAAGAACTAGTATCACAACCATGAGCACAATGAAGGGAGCACACTGGAAAGATGTACGTGCTAACGTTGTCACTTTGAGGAAAGGCGGAGCTTCTGTGCAATAGCACAGTGATATAATGATTGAGGGGAAAAAAATTCTCTCTTCAACATAGTGTAACAAGTGATAATCCACCCAACAATGATACTGTGACAAGCCACCCACATGTTTTCATGGTAAAACTAATAACCAATATTTTATTGTCTCTTTATTATTATTATTATATGTAATGGAAAAAAGAAATGAATGACTGTGGCCCTGGGATAATGATGTTCTAACTACATGCACATAAATTGTTATAAAACTCTAAGTGTCTCGACTCTTATGTCGTTCACGATTGTTGCTTGTTGCTGCATAAAAACAGAAGTGGACCTTTCAGTTTCTGGAAACTGAAAAGGGAAGTGGACTAATGGTGAAAGACATTGCTTTTAGGAAGAGGCCATCTTTCCCTATGAGATAACCCTGAGCCTGTAACTGTTACTGACATTGTTTCCTAGAATAAGTATCTTATTTAAGTTAGTGACAAATCATTGGGGGCAGATCCCAAAATAGCCTACTTCAGTTTTCACTGCCCTTTTTTTGACAGCTTTTAGTGTCGACAGTGCTGCCACAAGCATCTGTAAAGCCAAAGTATCAAACTAAATTGTAAAATATGTTTAAACAACTTTATATTAAACATTATGTAGACTGTTGCTTTTTTCAATTATCATAACCAATTTCCCCGTTAACCTGCCTGCTGCCTCATGATAATTAGGTTATGATTCATTGAATCCAGCAGTTACATGTGTCACTTTAAATTGTCTGCATGACCTACTCAAAGAGGCTTTTCTTGTCTTGTCTTTCCCCAACTCCAGTGGAGCTCCGCTCTTCTTTAAAGTTTTAATATTTTTATGCACCTCTACTTTGCAGGTTGTAAACAGTTTTATAAAGTTTTTAAACATTTTACAGTTGGTTCGAACTAAGATCACGCACGCCTCTGAACGGGCAGATAGCCAGTCATAGTGTAGGATAACGTACCCCCTGAATATGCCCCTGCTTTTTCCATTAAAGTCTGTTTGCGTCGGGAATAAAAAATGCCAACTTATCCAGTCATACCTGATCCAGGTGCTGCTGGGTGTGATGTTTTTGCAGGAAGGTAAGGACCTGTAGGTGATTGATTTTAGCGTTTCGCACCGTGGCAACTTACCACTTGGGGGAGGACACAATACTTTGACAAGCGCCTTTATTACTCGTCTTGGTTATGAATGGGTGGGAACGTCAGATCCGACACCGAGTGTTGCCTCCACACAGGGAGAGGCTGACCAAACACACAGGATGAAAGAGAGGAAGGAAGAATTCAGAATGAAAGTTGAGCTTGAATCCTCAATCACGAAAGCGAAAACAGAATCAGCTTGAATCTATTAACGATGCAGACAAAAACAAAGGTGGTTATGCTTTTGGAGTTTTAAAGAAAATGCCACACATTTGACCCCACGGGGTTATAGGCTTTCCTAATATCTAAAAACTGCGGCAGCTGACAAACTCGGCCATTTTTATTGACACATTGACTGCCGGTTTGGGTCCCTGTTTCAATCCTCAGTCCCAGATTAGGATAAAGAAGAGCAGTACATGAAGTTACTGCGGACAGTTTATCGTCAATTCATAATATGGTGTAATTGCCTAGGGTATAACTCCAACTCTGAGAATGTCATTTATTAGTGTAAGCAGATTCTTGTCATCCTTGAAACGACTCACCTTGTGGTGCGCTAGCTCCGATGTCCGGGCTGCTGGGATCCTCAGCTTTGCGGTCAGGCAGGATGGTTGCGGGACAGACACATCGCGATAGTTTCTGCCGATAGAAGGACCACGACACTGGGAGGCGTATTGAGAAGATCTCTGGGGGGGTGGGGCGCGGCTCTCGCTGACAGTTAAAACACGCCACAAAGATAATCATGTTTAATGTATGTAACTTCTACTCGATGTTTTATCTCTAATGAATTCGTAACATGGAGGAGCATCAGAGGAAGAATTACTATGGGTGCACAACTGGAGGGTTCAGACTCAACAGAGGGAAGTTCATCCCGAGTCCTCCGTTTTGGCAAACACTGTTCCTGCAGGAGGAAGTGGGACGCCGGGCGGCGCTAGGTTGAAGACATGCAAGGGCAGGTTGACATTACATGCCACTGATAAAGTGACTATGAAGCGTTGCATACAGGAGCCTGGTTTGGTACCATTAGCTAAGCTAGGCAAGAAACTGGAAAGCTGTCAGATTTAACTATGAGTGGCGTGTCCGTATTTACATGCTAGTGTATGTGTTGTGATGTAACGATATGTGCAGAAACCACAACAATCAGTTGTCTTAGCTACTGGTCAGGCTCTTGGTTGGGTGGCCGTGGCCTGGTAACGCAGAGCATGGTTCTGTTTTTGTAACTGTTTGATGGAAGGTTGGCCGCTTGTTTCGTCTGTTGCTCTGAGCATACCGGCTCTGATTAGGGTTAAATAAGAGAATCCGTTTATAGCGTTAAAAAATACTAATTAGGGCCCAAGCACCAGAGCGATACACAAGACAAAGTCTGGAAAACCCTGCGTGATAGGACACGACCAAACAGATGCAGTGTGTGTGAGTTACTTTCTCGCTCTCCTTGGATTTCCCAGGCGAGGCCGTTGTTGTGGGCCGGGGCGAGGGCGCGGGGCGAGGAGCCCTCATATCATGCTGAACGCGCCTGAAGAGAAACATAATGTTTATCACCTGGTTGATAAAACCACAGGACGACCACGCGAATTTACTTAATGCTGTACATTACTTTTCCTTGATGGACATTGAGCAGTTTTCTTTTGTTGGGGCGGGGGTCGTGTGTTATTGCCGTTACGTTGGTTAGACACCTGAAGATAAACAGGAAGGGTCAGAGAGGTGGAACAGGGTAACGACTCAACCTCATACAGAGACGGCGAGCCCCTTTGGTACACACTGACGAGCCAGTGTTTCGAAGAAGCTATGGACGCTTAATGCAGAGGGAGGGGGTTAAGCTGGACGATGGTTTTTTGCTTGTGGAGTTTTTTGCCTTCGTTCTAGGTTCTTTTGGCCTAAGGGTTTGCTGATTCTGTTGGGTATCTTTTCATGTTAAAACAAGTT